TCTTAAATTGGGTAGGGTTAACTTCAATGATGCTGAGATATTTGTAAAACTCGGGGCCGCAGGTGTCTGTGGTGAGGAACGAACGAGCTATTACCCTTTCCGGGGGCTAACGCGTTCACCACCACTCTATGCGGGTTCTTCGTTTCGCCTGTCTCGCAGCTTGTTCTACCACTCGGTGCAATCATCAATCACCCGTAAGCGAAATTGATCTGGGAGCTCAAGCCGGCAACGAACCCAGTTAAACTCGTTCGTTCTCCACCACAGTCACCTATGGCCGGGAGTTTTGCAAATATCGCAGCATCATTGAAGTTATATTTCGCAACAGACGTTGTCATTAAAAAGAGTAGACAGTAAGACAGTTAAAAATTAGGTAAGGCTATTTCTTAGTTGAGTTTCTTGGTGTAAATACCAGACTCTCTCTCAGCACACGTGACTTCGATAGGAAATAATTCTATAAAGTGAGGTAGCAAGGCATACGTAAGAAATTATTAAGGTAAGTATGTTAACCTGTAGAAAATTTTTAATCTTAGTCACATCAGTGATCGATTAAACATCTTTTCTCCATTTATTTTTTTTATCATAACTATCTTTTTTCAAGGGATGACCAGAAAATATGCCATAAAAAATGAAAAATCGGAATGGTGCATCAAGCGTAAACGAGCAAGGGTAATTAAAAACAGCTTTGAAACTATGTATTATAGTCGAGCATTTTCTGGGACTAAAGAAACTTAAGTCGATTAGTAGGAAAGTTACGTGGCGTGACCCCAGTGCATGGTGGGTTAAACACAATCCAGATAATAGTACTGACCCGTGACACTCTGACCATCCGGGATTCAAGCGATGAGCACTTTCTTTCTTCAGAAATCAGACTGACTTCTATCGCCTACATGCACGTGTAAATGTTCACCTCATTGGTATAATTGTGTACTTCTGTATCTCCAAATGCCTACATCGAAATGAATGGGAAATGCATCGTAATTAATGCGAAGCCTCCTCTAACACTGAATCATAGGTCTACAGTGGGAGGATATAGCAAGGTAACGGCGGATATCCGGAAAAAAAAAACAGTGAAAATACGAGCACGGTCTCACCCCTCGAAATCCAATGAAAAGCGCTGGAGCTTAGCACGGCTAGAAGCAGAGCACTGGTACCCATACGATTAGCTCGATTTTTAACCAAATTAGAGGTGATCTAATCAATAATTTTGAAAGTGAAATACTACTAAAAAGCACGCAGATAAAAAAAGATGAAGTCCTTGGTGTTGATCAATCCTTGAGAGACATGCTTGCATTCGACTTCACTAAGCATCGTTGGAGGAGACTGAATGCATATCTGGCCTTTAAAACCACTCGCGATGGCCTACCAATGTATCGGGTCAGTCTACTATCTTTCCAGACAAATCTGGTACTATTTTACCTGCACCAGAGTGATGGAAGGCTTGGTGAGCCTTTGGCAAAGGGATGGATCCCAAGTGTATCGCAGGGCGCCTACGACCGCTGCAATACACGCGCCCTTCAAAAAAGGGATATAGCCCCACGAAATCGTCTCCTTTAGGGTAATGCTCAATGCTCTATGTTTGTTGAAATTAAAGCACAGGTACATTGTTAACTTCACCTGTATCACCTGAAGTCCCGTTGATCGTCGAGTGACTCGAGCGGGAGCCAGTAATTCTTCCATTTTTCCCTGTTGCGTGGAAGAGTAGTCCAGTGAGTTCTGCTCGCTCTAGAGACTCGTCGAGCATCATATCTTTCTTCTAGGCTCTTCGTGAAGAACTCGTGGAGGCTGGTGAAGAATCGGGTCGTTGGTCTTCCCGCAGTACGTTTGACATCCCGAGGAATCCAGTCACTATCGGCTCATGTCCATCGATTGTCATTCATACGCATTACGTGTACGGCCCACCTTATCTTCGACTTTTTGGCGTACAGAATGGAATCTTTGATTTTTGATCGTTGACGCAGATCGGAACTTCGGATACCATCGCTTACTTGTGTAGAACGGGATACTCCTAGCGTCGTCCTTTCGACTACGCGTTCGATAACGCCGATCTTCCATCCTGCTTACGCAGCGACCAGGTTTCTGACACATACGTAAGGGAAGAGGTGCCGTTGAGTTGAAAAGGTGGGCACGGAGTCGGGTGTTCTTTGTTCTCTTCACTACATCCTCGATGCTCTTGAAAGCTCCCTAAGTCGCTCGTTTTCTTCTGCTCAGCTCTGAGCTAGGTCGTCCATTATGTTGATTTCCCGACCTAGATAGATATAACTGGAGCATTCAGAGATATTCGTTCCGTTGAACGTGAATGGGGCATGCGAAACCAATCCGTTCTTCATGAACATCGTTTTTGTGAGATTTAGTCGAAGACCAATCTTTCCACAGGCTCTATCAAAGTCGTCAAGCATACGTTCCGTTCGGATAACGTTTGGTGTTATAAGGACGATGTCATCAACGAAGCGAAGATGGTGTAATTGCCGACCGTCGATTTTCACTCCCATATTATCCCATTCCAATGTTCGCATAACGTTCTGGAGGGTGGCAGTAAGTAATTTTGGCGAGATGGTTTCGCCTTGCCTAACCCCTCTTTTCACGTCAATGATAATATCTTTGTAAAATGGTGATATCTTGGTTGTGAAATTTGTGTACAGCTCACGAAGAATCTTCATATACTGAGTAGGGACTCCTTGACTATCAAGGGCTTCCAAGACCGCTTCTATCTCAACTGAATCAAAGGCCTTCTGTAAATCGATGAAAGTGAGACAGCCGTCTTTTGTACTCTCGCGATACTTCAATAAGCCGTGTTACCGTATGGATGTGGTCCACCGTACTAAGTCCTCTTCGAAACCCTGCTTGCTCGCATGGCTGTCCTTCGTCTAGTGTTTTGTCAACCCTGTTTAGGATGACTTGAGTGAAAAGTTTGTAGACGACAGACAGTAAGCAGATTGGGTGATAGTTGCCGATATCGTGCAGGTCGCCATTCTTGAACAATAACACGGTCTTGCTGGTCTCCCACTGAGTAGGGACCTTGCACTCAGACAGATAATGTGTGAACAGCCGAGTCGTGTGTTTACGAGGACCTGCGTACGGTTCTTCAGATGTTCTGGTCTTATCCTGTCCGGACCTGACGCTGTTCGATTGCTCACCGACGAAATGGCATGTCGGATTTTGGAAGGGAGAACCGGTGGTACAACGTATCCAATCCTCCTTTATTTCATATGACGGAAGGTGGACGTGGCTATCGAAGAGATCCGAGTAGTATTGTGAATGATTTTTCCCATTGTCTTTCTCGACGCTGTAGCTGCTCCGTCTAGGCGCCGGAGTGCGAGATTCTCTGCAGCTTCGGCCATTACTGCTGCTCTCCTCTCTTTAAGATCTTCTTTTATCGTCTGTCTGCGTTGTTTTGCAAGCTCGGACGTTAGTTCGTGGTTGCCTTCAGCTCGTGCGATTCCACGCTGTCGTATCAGCTCAAGTGTTTCTGGAGACAGACGTCTCTTGGTGACTTTCGAACTCTTAGTTTTCATAGCGCTAAAGTGAAAATGTTGAATGAGCCGATCGTTTTCCTCGTCGATGTTATCGACAACGGCATCTTCCCAACAGCCGACTAATGAATTGAATAAGTCCCAGCTTGTGGTGGTTCTGGGACTTCGGTTTCTGAATTTAGCGGCTTTTTCTCCTTTCCGCGAGAAATAGAATCTTGCACGAAGGAGGCGGTGGTCTGATCCCGTGTAGAATTTTGGAACAACAGCGACATCGGTTAGGCAAAACCTTCTATTTACTATGATGTCGTCTATTTCGTTATGGTACTCTCCATTGGGAGACTCCCACATCCATCGTTGAGAGTGGGGCTTCTGGAATTGCGAGCTACCATGAATGGTCGTGGTCGCCATAATAAACTCAGATATCAGCTCATCCCGCTCGTTCCATTCTGATCCGTGGGTCCTAATGTGACGTTCTTTAGACGTTTTTCTTGGTCCAGTCTTGCTGTTGACATCTCCAATGATGACCTTGAAGAATGTATGGTCTTCTCTGTAGAACTTCTCCAAGTCCATATAGAACTCTTCGACTTCTTCTTCGTCATAATTTGATCTCGGCGCGTAAACGACGAAGATTGTCAAAGCCGGAATTTATCCACGTCTTTTTAATCGTTGACCTCGGATTCGGGTAGTAAGTTGTTCGAATGAATCCATGTTCATGGACAAACTCGCGTTCACGAGCCGACGCCGCCGACTCCACTACTGTCGCATGTTCCAAGGAACAGTTCTTCTCCGGTGTCATAGACGGCGTTGAAAGGCTGGCGTTCTCTCGTTTCGGCCGGCCCGACGACGTCGTGCCTTCTCTTTCTTACCCGAATGAGCAAATCCTTTATCGAGGACTCGGATGCGAGTGTACGTGCATTGTAGGTACAGATCATCACCACAGTTCTTTGAAATCCAGGCAACTTCCATTGACCCTGGGATTTCAGCAGTCTCTCCGTACTCGTCTTACCCAACGCTGCGAAATTGGGGGCTCTTTCGAGGTCGAGGGAATGAGGCCCGCTGTTTTTTCTTTTACTCTGTTTAGCATTTTTGATACCCACGTATAGCTTACTGGACTCTGAACGTGGGGTTGGGTATACTCACGTGTAGGTTGCCAGGCCCTCCCAGAATGGACATGGAGCTTATTTTCTGGAGGCAACTCGTAACCGCCTCTCATATACTTCCCGGCCACTTTACTGCAGGCTTTTGGCCGAATTGACTCGTAGAATACAATCCGCGTAGGCAAGAACGCATCCACGCACGCATGCATGAATACGCCTAGCAAATACAGAAAGTATGTGCCAAATCAGCGCAGCAGAAACAGAGAGTCCATCTCCTGGATCCATATGCGTCTCAGGGAAGCAAAGGCCGCTTTTGGTCTGCGATTAACCCCCCATCAGCCACCCGGGGACGCGCCACGTTACCTCTCGACTAACCGGCTCGAGGTCTATGAGAGTGATCCGTGGTCGTTAACTTATCCTTTAAAAAATTCAGGTGGCGTTTCGTGGCTCACTCCGTTATTGTTCACTAGCTGTGCATAATCGACTTGAGCAGGTTGTGGGTAAAAATGCAATAAATGTTTTCCAGAAGTATTTAACCTACAAAAGTTCACAATTTCGCTAAAAACTACGCAGTAAAGTCATTATGGTTTAAGGGTCGTGTTGACGATTTATGGTCGTGGGCTTACATGACAATCGAAATGCGTGATCCACTTCCATGGACAAAGGTAAATCGTCCCGAAGCCGTTCAGGGTTTGAAGGAAGACACTCCTCTCGAAAAACTCTGTGGAACTACGGGGTAAGTAAGGCCTCTATTTCATTATTGCTTAGATAAATCGATGAATTAGTTGCCTAGTATTCATAACAGAGTCATTTATGATGCAGCGAATCATTTGCTCCTTCCATCCTTGTTTTACCGCCATAGATAGAGGAAATGACACTTTCAATGGCCGTAGTGCATAAGGGAAAGAATAAAGAGCAAGATCATTACTAAAGACGGTCGGTCAAGTAATGAACGAGTGCAAAAACTTAGCACCACCCTTGAGGGCACAGTGGATAATGGTGTCACTTTGGTAGACTATGGTTGGAAATATCAACATAAAACGCTGCGCTCATTGCAGACGACGTTCTAGATATGCGAAAAGAGTTCTTCTCTGGGAAGCAAACATAATCTTTTGCACAGGCGTCTATGACTCTAACGGTGGTTTCGGTGCCGTTTGGATGTCCGATCCTTCTACATAACCTTTTCATTCCATCACTTCCAAAAAAAAAGAAGACAGGGAGTAGTTCAACTAATCAACGATTTTTTCTTGCCGATAATGTGAAACGCTGCAAGCAATGTCTTTACGTTAGGTAACACTCAGTAGGAGAACTCATTTACAGAAAAAAAATTTTTCTCATTGTTCATAAGTAGGATTACCACGGTATTAAGAAATATATCCCAAGAGATGGATTTTGAAATAAGACTATGAATAGTTCGTATATAATGCTGAGATATTTGCAAAACTCCGGACCACAGGTGTATGCAGTGGGGAACGAACACGCGCTGTTGTCCTTACCGGGGAGCAGCGCACTTCACCACTACACCATCCGGGTCCTTCGCTTTGCCTGTCTCTCAGCTAGTTCTATTGATCTTTTGCCATCAGCCATCACCCATCAACGGGATTGATCTGGGGAGCACAAATCGGCATTGAACCCAGTTAAGCTGAGGCTTAGTTATAATCACAATCTTAACCTTTTATTTACTGCCTTTTCCTTTTTAATGGTAGGGTATGTTGTGAAATATAACTCAATAAAACTAGATGAGAGACAGGCAAACGAAGGACCCGGATGGTGTGGTGGTGAAGTGCGCTACTCTCCGGAAAGGACAATTGCGCGCGTTCGTTCCCCACCGCATACACCTGCGGTCCGGAGCTTTGCAAATATCTCAGCATTATATACGAGTTATATTTCGCAACATACCTTGCCATTAAAAAGAAAAAGGCAGTAAATAAAGGAGTTAAGACTATGAATAGTATTTCTAGAAGAAATTTACGGACTGTCACATTTTTCATGTTATCGTGCTTTGCTCATTTTTCACAAAAACCGAATTATATCGCAAAATCGCATTCCTAGAGGTGATGACATCTCACTACCACTCCCTCTTTATGTAACGTTCAAAATTATCGTTCGTCCATACTCCATGTTTTGACCCGTTTTGAGAAACCGCCTAAATTCGCCCTCTGGCAAACAGTCATTATTCAAATGGTGTGCATCCGTACTTTCCAAGGATTCAATGAAACTTTTACTTTTCGCCTTCTGCCCACCACTGATAAGATTTTCTGCTCAATTAAAGAAAACGGACCTGGGAAAAGATATCCATACGAAAGTAATCAACTTTGGGCAGGAACAGATTACTGCAATGTCAACCGTATTTCCCGTACTTCGTGTTTGCCCGTCAAGAAAAACAGTGAACTATTGACCAAAGTCGAAGTTAGAAGGTAATCGATCCTGGGATCAATTGTATTTCATCGCTGTTTGAGAATTTCCAATCGGTCCTTCAAAAATCAATCACAACGCATTAGCCCACTTACGAACTCTCATGTCTAGCGGCGAGTGACAGTTCGTTTCTTTCTAAAAGAAAATGATTCCACATTACTGTAAGAAGTTCGGTAATAGATATCATTCCGGTTTACCTATGATCATTTCTTAGGGGTAAAACCCCTTTTAGTACCTCAAAGCCTTGACTATGTGAGCGTGGCTTGTTGATTACCTTAATGGGCTTATCAATTTATTCAGCAAAGCAACAAAGTCAACGATCATAAACAATGCTAGTTTTTTTTTTCAAATCTGAACTGTCAACGTTTTTAGGCCATCTCGGGTTTTTTTGCCAATTCTGAAGCAACTTAAAAGGCTCGATTACTTCGATAGACCCGATTATCAGGCTATATTTGAGTCGGTAGGTATTCGAGTAAAGCAAAACGAAGAGAATACTTGTAAAAATTGGGTAAAGTAGGATTGAATAGATTTTACAACGTGTCCTGTTCGTAGATACTCGATGAAGTAATAAAACTGAAAGTCGGTATCACGGATCCGTATGATTGGGAGGGAAAGATCAGCGATCCCGATGTAATAGAGAAACTGAATGAAGGTTAGTGAGCATTTTTCCAGTAGCTTAGGAATATATTTTAGCGCTTATTTCTTGAGACGTGTCTCAAATGACATTTTTAGTTTGACCTTAACGAGAACTCCAAAAAGCGGGACTATCGATTTGGCACAAAAACCATTAAGAAGACTTTGGGTGACAAATAAGTAAAGCAGGGTGTTAAAATGTATGCCTCACATATGAGTAATGATGTCCTCAAAGTCATAAAAAAATTGCATTCCACCTTATTATAAACAGAAAAGGAGAGTCGTCCAATGAATTATTTCATTAACATTTAGCACTGCGATTCACTTTACATTCATTGTAACGTGATATGCGATTTGAGAGACAATACGTTTTCCTTTAAATTCCACTTTCCCTTCAGTTAATTATGTTAGTAATATGAGGCTGAAATTGCTGTTGAAGTGTTAAATAGTCTCTTTGTTTGGAAGAAAATAGGACTACTTGCTTGGACACTTGGATGACCAGTCCTCATAGGTTGTGAAGACCCCAGCATGACTCCGTTTTCTGAGTTTTACCAGTTTAGCCACCGTGGTTCACTGGAATCCCGAGGTCAGCCATGCCAGAGTCTGGCCCGGGTCGGCACCACCACATGCAGCCGCCGCTATTGTGGATCAGAGGGAGATTTACCACCAAGCGACTAGTCTGTTACCAGGACGGTGGCGGATCGTGGTATTGGCTCACTTTTAGCTGGGCTTGTTGGAAGAAACGCCGGACTCCTTCTCGGCTTGGGGGACCTTTCCGGGAGGTGATTCCCCGCTCTACCTCGCAGTCCGACACCCAGGAACACCTCACGAGGCGGTAAACCGTTGGGAGGTAGTACCTCAAATGCGATTATATAAATAAACGCAGTAACGTTGATAATCTGTTAGAATACTTTATGAGCTTAATTGAAGTAAGTTTGCCGTTCATTTCAAAATCGGAAGCATTACTAGGCACGGTTGACACTTGACACTTGAACGGCCCGTCCTCACTGGTTGTGCGGACCCCAGCATAATCACCATTTATCGGAGATTTGCTGGTTTAGCCATTGTGGTTCCCTGGAATCCTGAGGTCAGCCTGGCCAAAGTCTGTCCCAAGTCGTCACCACGACAGGCAGTCGCAGCTCTTTTGGATCAGAGGAAGATCTGCCATCACGCGACTTTGATACCAGGACGGTGGCGGATCCTGGTATTGCTTTACTCTTAGCTAGGCTTCTTGATGGAAACACCGGATTCATTCTCAGCTTGGAAGACTCGGGGGGAGAGGCGAATCCCCCTGCTATACAACGCAGTTCGACACCCAGGAACACCTTCCAGCCACGATGAGGCGATAAACTGTTGGGTGGACTAAGTACGGTTAGCAGCAATAATTTGAACAAAAGCTGACATTTAGTCGAATTCACTTTACATTTTTCTTCTGATCTATAGGAAGTTGAAGAATTTCGTATGACCGGATATTCATTGTGTAGCTGATAATATTATAGCTTGCGAACGCAATGGTGTGAAGCTGGAGAACCTCCCTAAGCAAGAGTCATTCAAGGAGTCTTCAGAAACTAGTGAATTGGTCCGCTGTTTATTTTTTATACAAATATGAAAGCTAATGAACAAAGATGCTCGAACAAAAGCGGAAAGATTTCCAAATACTGTACTTATTATTAGTAAATTGAACCATACACGAGGACATCAGGGCTCATTCATATTTGTGACGTGTTGTTAATACGATAGCTAACTTAAGGTAAATCTATCTTTCTTATGGCATAAAACACCTTATTAGTCGCGTGTGGCGTAGTGGTTGGAGGCGCCACTGCGACACACACGTAGAATTGGTCTCCGCGCCCATGGCTCACCATGCCTTCCATCCATCCCGGGTCGGCAAATCGGTACCAGACTTATCTGGGAGGATAGCAGCACTGGCCCGCTACATGCGATTCATTGTAAAGGCCAGATATGCATTCAGTTACCTCCAACGATACTTAATGAAGTCGAAGCATGGCGTATCCCTCAGGGATTGATCAACGGCGAGAGCTTTATCCTTTAACATTTTTATTAGTCACGTACACACAATAGCAATTGGTAGTTCACCAGGATCTATTATGCGAGAGAGTATGCTCACTTTTAATTAGGTGGTCTCTTGCTGAGTTTGCATGAAACTTGTTTGCTGGAGGCGACCCGTAGCCACATTTCCGCCTAAATTTCCAGTCACATCATTGCTAGCTCATAACTGAACCGACTTTAAGGATACAACTAGCGCAAGTGCCAAAACGCCCACACAAATATCCGCGTAGAAAATGTGTACAAGGAAAAGTGAAAGGCCCGCGTAGCATAGAGACGAACGCTATTTTCTGCACGCATAGGGCTGCCAGTCAACGACTAATTCACGGCTTCCTTTGGGATGCGTTCACATACTGAACCTTCTCATATATCACCTGGAAAGGCGCCACGTAGCCACAGTACAAATAAATTTTTGTTCCTTCACATGAAAAAAGTCTTTCCCTTGAGAGACAACAAGATTTAGGCGTATTTGCGACAACAATTCTCTCCTAGTTCGTCAGATGTTCCTGGAGGAGTTCAGTACGAAGAAAAGAAGAAAACTATGAAAAGCACTACAAAGTAACGGTTCAGTATACTTTAGGGAAATCCTACTTTATAAATCTCCACCATGGTGTTTCAGTGCTAA